TGACCTCCAGTGCAGTATTTAACTGGCGCCTCTGTGCAGGGCTTCTCTCTACCCAGCAGAACCCACCAAATCTGCAGGGGCAGAGGAGACGGTTAACGACTGATTGGGCATCAAACTCGTTACAGCTTCGACATAGCAAAGAACACTGCCCCAGCGCAGTGCGGCTCTGCCAATGCGTTGGCTCTTGGTACAACTACAGCAGGAGGTTTCTCAGCATAAATACTGCATTTTTACAAACATTATGTTAATGTGCATGTTATAGAACTGAAATGATGACGTTATAAAGATCTTTATTTCAACTATTCTAGTAGAGCGCAGGTAGTATGTAAACCACTAAAATTGGCAGAATAAGCAAATGCTTTTAAAAAAAAACAACTATGCAAACTTATTTAGGATTCAGATGAGGATCATTCTACTCAGCTTAGGGGCAAAACATTTAAATAAAAAAAAAAGCATTTTTTCACACTGAGGTTTAAATCCTCAATTAATTATTTTAGACATTTTCCGTATTAATTAAAGCAGTATTGCTTCTTTCTTAAGTTCTTTATCTACTTTCTTTGAGTAAAGCTATTTAATACTGGAGATTGTGGAAAACATTTGTTCATGATTACCCAGACATACAGTCAAACAAGACTGAAACAAGAGCAGCATGCAAAAATGTATTTAAGGACTATCATCCCAAAATGCTGCTAAAAGCTATTAACCAGTACGTGTTAATTGCCACAGCATTCATATTAATTTTCACTTCAGGCCCGACATTGTGGAATATTTCCCTTGATACATTTTAAACAAAGTTTAATTTAAGGAACTGCTTCTATCAACACTTATGAAAATTAACAGCCAAGCAATTAGCACTCATGAATTATCCCTTCCCCCATGCTTTCTACAGCATCCTTTTTAAAACAGTTGCTACAAGAGCAATTGTTGGGTTTTAACCCATTATCAAAATTAGCCACAAGAAACCCTGCAACACTATATGAAGTTGCCATTCCTCACAACAGCATTTTTAGCATCTGTCCAGCCAAACATCACGTTGATCTATTTTTCTTTAACTTCTCTCCAGTAGCCAAGTAAACCCACAAAACCCCTAAACGGTCAGAAAAGCTAAACTTCTCTAAATCTTCATTTTCAACTAGTAGTCATGAAAATAGAAATAAAAATATCTTGAGAAAACTCAAGTCCGCATGCAGGAAAGGTTTTTAGCCTTGTAACTCAAGTTTATTCTAGAACCGAATGATCCCTTCCTTACATTTTCGTTGTGGTCTTCCAACTTTCTTCCATGACTATTTTGCATATCTCTAGCATCTCTTTTTGACTGTCCTGTAACACTTCTGTTTGCTCACGTTCTTCTGGGGACGTAGGAGCAGCCATTTGGTGGCTGGCATGTCAAAAACTGAATTGACAAGACACTTCAGTCATTAAAATTTCTTAAAGGTAGCAGAGACTCGGAAGAAAAATGGATGTGAACTGGTGTGGTCCACAATAAACATATTGTTGCTTCTCTCTTGAGAGTGATGTGCATGACTCCATCTGCAAAAACTGGCTTCAAAGATGATTTCAAGGGGAACTGTAAGCAGAGACCTTAGGAGTTACTCATTCAGTACGGCTACAAAGTTGAATGTTTGGTTCTAGCATGATTTTCCTCTAGTCCAATAACTAAATACATCTTGGTAACATTTTTCTTACTAGTGGGAATGGTCAGGCAGTTGAATACCTTTGATACTAATACTGTACTAAATGAGTATCCTTTAAGATTAATATCTCAGAGAAAACTCACCACCATGCAAGTTACACTTGTGATTTGGAAAGAAATATTCTGAACTTCTATAGAACTAAAAAGATAGCACATGCTTTTAAAACAATTAATGGAAGCAGGTAGGTAACGGGTCGGTAAAGTGAATCTTGTGAATCTCACAGTTGTGTCACTGAAACGAGCCATTACAACACTCGTGTTTCTTTTGTGGTACCTGGCTGTGGCTTTCAAATCTGTCCTATGGTCAGGTTGATTTTCCCAACTTTATCAAAAGTTGGCAAGTTGGAACAATAAGCCATCAAAATTTGATTATTCAAATTCTATAAACAGAAGTTTATATACCTGAAGTTACCTATAAAATGGATGATAATTTAATTTGCATGCAGATAAAGGAAATAAATTTTGCCACTGCTTTCTTAAGCCTTCAAGTAATTTTCTATACAAATGACAACTGAAGTAATTATAAATAACTAAAGGCTTCTTTTCACACAGTACTCTTAGCAAGAGTTTTCAAGCTTTATTAACCAAGACGTATAACCCACGTGATTTACAAACCATGCAAACAGATGCAGAGGTTAGGTTTACTTTAACTATTTTAAGGAAAAACTTGAAGATACAGTCAAGAGTAGTTACTGTGTGTACGCCTTTTGTTAAGGGCTTAAGTTTTACAAGGTACTTGTACAGGTCTATCCTGTGTAGTTGTGGGGCAAGAACCACCTGAATTCTTGAGCTGATTAGAATGCTTCC